GGCAAACCTATGCACGGGGGCCTTGGTGGTTTCAGGAGGCCTTGCAGAAAACAACTTGGAGTGTTTTCTTGCAATAACCAACAGCTGACTCTCATAAATCACAGTGAAAAAGCAATGTGTGTGTAAAAATTTAAATAGAAAAATTACCACCACACAGTTTCTCCAATTTTTGGGGCTAAAACGGTTGCATCAAAGCACTCCATATGCAATACCTTGGGGTGTCTACTCTCTGGGGGTAGGGGGGCTGTGTGTGTTGGGGTTAGGGGTGCTGTGTGTGTGTGTGTGTTGGGGGTAGGGGTGCTGTGTGTGTGTGGGAGGGGTGCTCTGTGTGGGTAGGTGTGCTGTGTGTGTGTTGGGGGTAGGGGTGCTGTGTGTGGGGGGGTTGGGATGCTGTGTGGGGGGAGGGGGTGGTTTAAAAAAAGTTATGCTAAATCTGTATCCCCCCTCCCTCCTGCTTATCTTTAATGAAGGGGGGGAGACACAGCCATCCCTGGTGGTCCGGTGGTGGTAAGTACTGCTTCCGGGTCGCGAGGCAGGGGGAGGGATCTGTGAAGCAGCTCCCCTGTCCTCCCTCGCGATGCTGTGTGGATGCTCCACACAGCATCATGCTGGAGGACAGGTGAGCTGCTTCACAGATCCCTCCCCCTGCCTCCCGACCAGGAAGCAGAGTAGGCGCCTGCCGTTTGGGCAGGGAGGTGCCTACTCTGCATTGATGGTGAACCTATGGCCGCGTGCCCACAGAAAAGGCCTGGCGTGCCACCTTTGGCACGCGTGCCATAGGTTCGCCATCATTAAATTACATTGGCCTGCTTCAAAAATAGCCCAAATAGGACATGGGTGAATGATGACCAGCTGTGAAAATTCCATACAATATACAATAAAAACAGCGATATAAAGCAATATAGCTGCCCTACGCATTTTGTCCTTAGACTTCGTCAGGGATATCCGGCTAGTGTCATACAGTCTTGTCTTCTGCTTCTGTTTAAATATCCCGCTCGTCCCTTCCTCAACGCTTGTTAGCCAATCGGGCACTGATCCATAATTGATTCCACCTGTAAAGAATAAACAGTATCTTCCGTATACCATGCCTCCTTTCTGACTCCTGTGTGTCAGACCTCGTTTTCACCATTTGTTGTTCTCATTGCAATGGAACTAATATGCGTTCCATTGAGTCTGTTGCTGGTGAAATCTTCATTTTTTGGTTAAACTCAACAAACATTTTACCTACTTTGTGGGAATCCTCATAAAGTCCATGTAAGCAAAAGGGCGATATGCGAAAAATAAAAACACATGATCAACAAATATGCTACAATACAATAACTATAACACTACTCAAAATGTCAAACTTGTAAATAATATTTATAACTCTAAAAAGAATATCATGTACTAAAATAATAGTAAACTATATCGGAGGCAGAGAAGAGGGCTTTTTATAGGAAACACACCATATCGAAGTCGACATTCATTCCTTCGGGCTGCATAGTTTTTAGGGTGCATATCCAGTAACCCTCTCTCTGTCTCAATTTAAGAACCAAATTCCCTCCTCTTTCATCAAGGTAAACTTTTTCAAGTCCTACACAAGAAAAATTATTAAAATTAAAACTCTGACACTTGTTACAATGTACTGGAACTGAATGATTAACCAATTTCTTTTTTATGTTATTAAAATGTTCTAAAAATCTTTTTGGTGACTGGTCTAATAGTCCTACCGACATAGTGAGCCCCACACCACACGTTAAAAGATACACTACACTAGGCTCGGAGCTGCTGTCTGGACTCTATTTACTGTGTATCTGCTCCCCCGCAGATCAGTAAGTAGAGAGATGCAGGTATATGCTGTAAATTCCTTTTCCTGCCTCTCTCCACAAACACAAGGACCCCTACTGGCCGGTGCTGGTATTGTAGAGTAATCTCTGTTTATACTGAGAAAAATAACAGCAATATCTGCACTGGCAAATACCGGCAATTACTGCAGTATCGGCACCGGCAAGGCAGCCTCAAATAAATACTGGCCAGGTGGCAACCCTAAGAGTAATAATCTTTTTTTTTTTTTAAATCAATGGGCCTATTCCATGAGCATGAGCATGGGCATGGAGCTGCAGCTTCAACAGCCCCTCTGCTAATCCCGCCCTGCTGAGGAGATGTTGAACACATATTGGTGTGTTCTTTGGCAGTAACCCTTAAAGCTCTCAGTACATGTATTCTTAAATTGCTGTATGTGTCAAACAAAATCACCAATTTTTTTTTTTTTAATTTGGCATAGATTGGTGGTAAAATGGTTGCATGAAAAGAGTCAAAATACCCCAAGTGTAATACCTTAGGTTGTCTTCTTTTTAAAAAATACATACATATGAAGGGTTATTCAGGGATTCCTGACAAATATCAGTGTTACAATATAACTTGCGTTAATTAAAAAAAAAAAAAAAAAAATGGTTTGGAAATAGCAAAGCATACTTGTACTTATTTCCCTATAACTTGCAAAAAAAAAAAAAATAAGTACATGTTAACATTGGGGATTTCTAAACTCAGGACAAAATTTAGAAACTATTTAGCATGGGTGTTTTTTGGCAGTTGTATACGCGTAACAGATTTTGGGGGTCAACATTCGAAAAAGTGTGTATTTTTATGTTTTCATCATATTTTACAATTGTTTTCATAGTAAATTATATGATATAATTAGAATAATGGTATCTTTAGAAAGACCATAAATTATGGTCATAACATATAATATGTGTGGGTACAGTAATGAGTAAGAGGAAAATTACAGCTAAACACAAAAACTGCAGAAATTTAAAAAGAGCCCTGGTCCTTAACGGTAAGAAAATTGAAAAACGGTCTGGTCACTAAGGGGTTAAGCATGCATAGTATAGGCATAAGGCTATCCTAGCTATAAGAACTACGTGAAAAGTGTACAGAAGGATCAGCACTTAAAAACTTAAATAAATGCAGCACACCAAAAGCATAGGGCTCCCTCACAGGACCTATAGGTATATAGGCATAAGGGAGTAGAGAAAGGTGGCGCCACAGAGATAATATATATAATGAAATATAAGCAAGTAGTAATATAGAAATAAACAATGCTCTATAATACAGAGAGACAACAATAAAAATAATAATAGGTATATATATTTAAATAAATATATATATATATATATATATATATATAAAGAACAGTCCAAAAAGAGTCCAGTAAAATCTTTGGATGAGAGAACAATCACAGTTCTATCTGAGGTAGAGACGTCCATGGAGTAGTGGGATCGAGGGATTCATGGGATCCGTATGAAAGAGAAAAGAAAATCTAATAGTGTAATAAAACCCAAATAGGTAGCAGCCGATAAAAGAGGTCTATATGGTCCTACTCACGTTTTTGAGAGCTAAAAACTAGCTCTAGTATAAACAGCGTACAGTGGTATAATCCCCACTTATGGGATATGTGAGGGAGTGTTGTAATTAGATATCTCGTCAGATGGGGACCATATGTAATATAAAAAACAATAGTGTTCAGTGTGAGAAAACCAGGAGAGTGTATAAAAATACCAAATGGTTACTCACATTTAACGGGGCAGACTCACTGCTCAATGATAGGGCATAAGTGGTATAATTCCCAAAAAGGATGTTTTGGAGTAGTTTTGGAGTAGTATCTCTCTGGAACAAGTAAAACCCAGATGCTAGGTAGTAAAATAATAAAAAGTGGCCAAAATACCTTTATTAAAATACAGTTAGTTAAAATTCCACCCAAATTTCAGTTTTAAGCAACGGCCTCATATTTTCACCCACCAACCCTTTCAAACCATTTCAGGCATTTTTAGACCTCCACCCAAATTTCAGTTTTAAGCAAGGGCCTCAGATTTGCACCCACCAACCCTTTTAAACCTTTTCAGACGTTTTTAGATATTAACAAGTTCGGAAGAAAAGCCACACTTAAAAGATTTTTTACCAGTAAATCCAACACAACCAATATTCCCAACATCCCTACTAACACCCCAAACATGTCTTCTAGCCCAGCTAATAATAATAAACCCCCAACAGTACACACCCTCTTTAAAAAAAAAGCTACATTTTTGTTATCCAACCAGTTTTAAATCAGCACCCATAGAAACATTTGAAAAACTAGTTATCCAAGATTTAGACAAAAGTAAACAAAAACAATACAAAAAAATTCTAAATATTAACCCCTTAAGGACCGAGGACGGTTCAGGACCGTCATCGGCATTTTTGCGTTGCCGACTGATGACGGTCCTGAACCGTCCTAACGGTCAGAGCTACTTACCTGATCGCCGTCGTTCCCCCGGCGGCGATCAGCGTGGCTCCGGTTGTGGGGAGACTGCCTGCAGCCCAGACAGTCTCCCCACGGCAGATTAGGACCCCTGTGGCCATGTGATCGCTTAACACAGCGATCACATGGTCACAATAGGTGTCCATGTGTCTGCCTGCAGGGGGACTGCCTGTGCTGACAGGCAGTCTCCCTGCTAGTGTAAAATCAAAAATAAATTAAAGTTAGTGTTAATAAAAAAAATAAAAATAATTATATATGTGTATATATGATATATAGACATATATTATACCTATATAATATATGTCTATATATCATATATATAATGTCATACTAAGTGTATTTTTATATTAATATGTACTTATATTAATATAAAAATACACTTATAATTAAATTACACACGTATATATATAATATATATAATAACTATATATATTGTATATATATATTATTATAAAATATAAATAATAAGTAATTTAAATTAAATAATTTTTTTTAAATAATAATAAAAAATTTAAAAAAAATTATATAGCTATATGAAATTTTATTCTAACTGTATTTTAAAATTAATATATATATATTTATATCAAAATACACTTAGAATGAATTTGTATATATATCTATGTATATAAAAATAAATAAAAATAATAAGAAATATACATACGTCCATATACAAAATTACATAAATAATTATATAAATATACACGTAGACTTCAAATATATAAATATGCATATATATTTAAATTCTACGTGCGTATTTATGTAATATTTTTACATAATTCAGTAATTTTATTGATTGCAATTTGAGGGACCTGCCTGCCAACCCAGGCCGAAATTCCAGAGAATTTAATTTGCTAGCACTGTATTTTACCCTGTAACGTTCTACGACACCCTAAGACCTGTACATGGGGGGTACTGTTTTACTCGGGAGACTTCGCTGAACACAAATATTAGTGATTCAAAACAGTAAAACATATCACAGCGATGATATTGTCAGTGAAAGTTACTTTTTTTGCATTTTTCACACACAAACAGCAGTTTTACTGATGATATAATTGTTGTGATACGTTTTCCAGTTTTTAAACACTAATATTTGTGTTCAGCGATGTCTCCCAAGTAAAACAGTACCCCCCATGTACAGGTTTTATAGCATTTTTGAAAGTTACAAGGTCAAATATATGGGTCAAATATTTTTACATTGAAAATGGCAAGGTTGGTTACGTTGCCTTTGAGAGCGTATGGTAGCCCAGGAATGAGAATTACCCCCATGATGGCATACCATTTGCAAAAGAAGACAACCCAAGGTATTGCAAATGGGGTATGTCCAGTCTTTTTAGTAACCACTTGGTCACAAACACTGGCCAAAATTAGCGTTCAATTTCGTTTTTTTACTTTTTTCACACACAAACAAATATGAATGCTTACTTTGGCCAGTGTTTTCGACTAAGTGGCTACTAAAAAAGACTGGACATACCCCATATTGAATACCCTGGGTTGTCTACTTTAAAAAAAATATGTACATGTGGGGTGTTATTCAGAGATTTATGACAGATAATAGTGTTACAATGTCACTATTGATAAATTTTAAAAATGTATGTTTTGAAACCGCAATATCCTACTTGTACCTATAGCCCTATAACATGCAAAAAAAAGCAAAAAAGCATGTAAACACTAGGTATTTTTAAACTCAGGACAAAATTTGGAATCTATTTAGCAGTTTTTTTCATTCGCTTTTGTAGATGAGTAAAAGATTTTTCAAGTAAAAGTCAAAAAACATGTATTTTTTTCAATTTTTCATCAGATTTTTGTATTTTTTTTAAATTAAAATACATGAGATTATATAAATAATGGTATGTAAAGAAAGCCCCTTTTGTCCTGAAAAAAACAATATATAATTTGTATGGGAACAGTAAATGAGAAAGCGAAAATTACAGCCAAACACAAACACCACAAAAGTGTAAAAATATGCCTGGTCGCAAATGTACAACATCGCAAAAACAGTCCAGTCCTTAAGGGGTTAAACCCATAACTTGTTATATCAAAAACAATTAGCACTTAAAGAGTTGCAGAGCGATGACAACATCATCATCAAACCAGCCGACAAAGGCGGTGTTCTAGTGGTTCTCTCCAAAACTATGTATATTGATGAAGTACTCAGACAATTAAGTGACTCTAAAGTATATAATAAACTATCCTCAGGCCCTACCCATACTATAAAAAACACTCTATCCCAATTTTTTAAATAACTGCCTAGAATCAAACATACTCAATATAAAAATAATTTGAATATCTTAATATCGTAATTCACCCCAAGATATATGTTAACTATTTTTTACCCAAAATACATAAAGATAAAAAAAAATCCCTTAGGAAGACCTATTGTTTCTGGGATAAACTCTATATTTTTAAACCTATCCGAATACATAGACATTCTATTATAACCATCAGTTAAACTCATGAGGTCATATCTAAAGGACAAAAGGAGTTTTGCAAGGAGCTTCGTGTCTGTGTTCAATAAGGAGATGGGTCTCATATTTTGGGGTACCGTCGGGGGTTTCCCCTGCTTTGGTAGAGTCGCTATGTGAGCCAGAAGCATTTCTGGCGGCATGGTGAAGTCCCTACAATATTTTATATATATGGGCAAATAGTTTTTTTTTTGTTTGTTTCTTTCTTTCTTTAAAGCCGTCTGGCAGCATTTGGTATAGTTGAAATCTTGACCTAATTCAAGCTCATTCAGAGCCTTTTATGCAAAATCTGGATATTGTTAAATAGCGTGAACAATGTACAGATTTTGCAGCCAAATGTCTTTGAACCTAATCATATGGTTTTGGCAAGTTCAGTGCAGGGTCATTCAGTGTTTAATATTCAGTGAATAACCTTGTTAGATGTCTTCAGTTTATTAGCATGTTTTGGAAATGTATATTTTTTTTAGTTATGAAATAGTTTCCCAAAAACTGATCTACCTTATATCCCAACAAAAATGTCCTTATAAAACAGGAAGAACCAAGGGAAGGTACAACTATATTGTCCAGATGTTTATATTAAAATAAGCTTTTTACTCGCTGGTGCATGCGTAGCAAAAAAGATTCAGAAAGTGTCCAGCTACAAAAATGTACAATAGAAAATTAATTTTACAAAATATAATAAATATGGTGCATGACAGAAAAGCACAACAATATAACAGACATGACACATTTCAATGATTGTAAAACCGTGACATACGTGCTTTATAAAACAGGGTGTATCCCAAACAAGTGACACTAATCTTTATAATTACTTGCAATAAAATCAATAGACATTCAACTTTGACAATTTTATATTTTGAAAATGCATAATTAAATGATTGGGGCACTATAATAATGCAGTATACATAGCTACATTATCATATTTTATTGTGCAAATAATGTCACAACCTATAACAATCTATCACAAGTAAACACACATATGAAAAGCTCAAATTTTGTTGAACAATTCAAATTTATTCTTTATTAAAATTAAATAATCAAGAATCAGGCATAAACTTACAACACTATATTACATACAACAAAGGTGTGCTGTGTCCTTAAGACAAATTGTAACTTAAAGTGTATACCACAATATTAAGTACAAAAGATGCACAATACAATTAATAAAGTGCACAACTATTACACACAAAGTGCATTATGCATTAAAGTGCACAAAATATTAAAGTGCAATTACAATCCAAAATACACAGTAAAGAATATAATTTTACAGGCAAGTGCAATACCAGTGTCAAGTGTATCACACTTCACTTACACCACATTCACACTTACACCATATTTACACCATACATATGGCAAGCACAAAACTGAAAGCAGCATATAGTGTAATACTGTCATAAAATAATAACATTGTTGGTGAATATATCACCCACAAGTGAAAAAGCAGATAAGTCTGCTCAGGCAATAAATGCTCCTCTCCACCAACATACAGCATCCTACTGGAGGGTGGACCCAGAGACATAGAAGATCAGGCAGTCAAAAGATTCCAGTCTTCCAATTTTTTTATTTCCACACAGGTAAAATCAAATATAAACGTAAATATTTGCTAAAAGACTACAACACTATATTACACTATAAACATCCACTGTTTTAAACTTATATGTAAGTTGACAATTTGTTTTTTTACTACACACTCGGAAATGCACTACAATCTTATTTTCTTCTCTTGAGTATATGTTCTCCAGAATGCATATGGTGATTTGAATATGTCCATAAGCTTCAACCCCTGCAGGGAACTTTATACAAGCCTTTATTACTTCATTGAAAAGTGTGAGTGGCCATTTGGGATTGCAATATTTTGGCACTTTTCTACACAGTTATATGCTATATTCCCCAATTTTTTGTATACATATCTTGTGGAAGACAAGACGAAGTCTCTGGGATACCCTTGAAGCGTCACCTTATACAGGGAAGTTTCTTTCTGATAATATTTTGATTTGCACTAAATGCACTTTCGTTTGTGAACACAAATATCTTTTGGCATTTGCACTAAGTTGTCTGGAGTGCTCTTTTTAATGTCCTATCTTTTAGGGATGCTAGTCTTGCAAGAGAATTCACCTTTACTGTTGATTACTAACCCTTGCATTGTTGTATCACTGGTAGGTATCATACATTAACAAAAACAATAACTTTTACTTGATAATGTATTTTTAAAATATGTTTTTTTTTTATTTTGTTTATTCAAAGTTTATTAACATAGAAATCGCATACATTAGGAAAATGCCATGTGCCGGAAAATGCATATGGAGCGAGAGAGTATCACAACATCTGATAGGATAGACATGAGTTTGAAAATGACAATATAATGATTCAAACTATATTGTTTAGAGCTTTAGTACATATCCTAGTCATGTAACGATAACAAAAGTAAAACAATAGGAGTATCAGAATAATACTAGGCCTGCAAACAACTGGTTTGTGTTACGCTAGGATAACATTACACAGCTGTGGGCCGCTTGGTATGTCCTTAAGGTAGTGTGTTGGTGAAATCGTGCTGTGCTGTGTGGCGCAACGTAGCTAGTGTCAGCGGTGCAGAGCTTTAGCACTCAATATTAAGAGGCTAATTACCTACTTAGCAGGTCGGGTTTCTTGTGACATAAGGTGTCCGGATCAGAGTGTCAGTCTCTGGTGTAACCAGGTTACTGTGTTTCGTTCTTTGCTTGTTGCTCGTGGGCATGCATAGGTGCGTATATGTGTGTACCGTTGTATTGGTTCCCTCCCTAAGTGGGGGGGAGGAGATGCTTATGTGGGTTTCTCCATGTAGTCTTGTATCACATTACAAGCGGTAGAGGGGGGGTAAGCATGTGGGGGGGAAAGATGATGTGGGAAGGGAGTGGCACAGGGCTGAATGGGGAAGGGTGAGGGGAGAAGAAGGTTGGTCCTTAGTCTCCATCCTGTTTCCCCTCCCCCCGGACCAGGTCCAGCGTCTCTGTGTCCGTATGGGGTCGTTTCTCCTTTAATCGGGTGAGGTGTTGGTGCGGTGTCTGCAGAATCGCTGTGGGTCGTCTGTTCAGGTGTTGTGTTGTCCGTGGTCCTGTTTCTGGGTTCACTCGGGGCCAGTATGCCCCCGAACCCGTCCAGGTGCTATGCGTCTCCCGTAGTGGCAGCTGAGGAGAGTCATTGGAGCCAGTGGTACCATGTGTCATGTGTTGCGTCCTGCCACGGATAGGATCAGCTCCTCAATACGTCTGATGTCTTCCACCCTGTTCATCCATTCTCTCAGTGTCAGAGCGGTAGTTCGTCTCCAGTGTAATAGGATAAGGCTACGTGCTGCGTTCAGTAGATGTGGTATGACTAATTTTTTGAATCTGCATATGGGGATTGTGGTTAGTTGAAGCAGATATGTTTCGGGTGTGAGTTGCAGGTTTTGAATTGCCTCCCAGAAGGGCTTGATGAGTGAGCATGACCACCATATATGAAAGAGGGAGCCTAGTGCTTTCCCACATCTCCAGCATTCCGGGTCACAGGCAGTGGTGTATCCTGGTTTTGTGCTGCCCTAGGCAGGACAAAACTC